TTTATTTTAACAGGTATAATATATGGTATGTTACTTATAGTATAGATTTTTTTATTTCTCGACCTAATTTATTTGTTACGTCTTCAGCAATTGTCGCTTTCAGTTGACATAAACGAAATTGATAAAAAGTGTTTTTCGCATTTTATTTTGACTGTTTCTCTTACTTTTGAATAGAAACTGAGCTTTGTAAACATAAAATGACGGATATGTCAAACTAAAACTGACGGTAAAATGAAACATTGAGTATCGTTAAATGCAACTTTTGAACTAGTTTCAAAAATAGCATTAAAATTATATTATCATTCACAATGTACTAATTTCCTATACTTTCAGTTGATAAATAACCGATAATCATACATCATATAACAAATAGGCGCATGTCAAAAGGTCAGAAAAAAGAGTGCCGATGAAAAAAGGTCATTTCCAATTGTATCATATAAACAGTATCAGAGGCAGTATTATCATCTCGTATATCCCCCGTAAACACACTTAATATAAACGGAAATAATCAAATACTAGTCAAAATATTATCGATCGGAGCACCATCTTTATTACATTACATGAAGTAATTATTGATTTTTCGGGGTTTATTTAGAGTTAAATTAGACGCCATTTTTGGTCCAAATTCGTTTTGACATGTTTGTTCAAAGAAAGTGACTTATAAATTTCAAATCTACACGTTTTGAAAAATATACAATATTTAAATATTCTGAGTGTACCAAATTCCAAGTAAAGGTTGAACTTAGGTCGTATTACATTTTTTTTTATTATTTGTTTGACATCGAGGTTAAAATAATTCTAGACGGCACCTTTGAGATGAAATAAAAGGGAGTTATTTTACATGATTGGTTTTTATTGAAAATAATAAATTTATTAATTTTCAATAGTAAGGTGACCTAAGTTAGACCTTTATTTTTAATTTGGCCAAAAATTAGATTTTTAAACACTACATATTCGGAAAACTGTCGATTTAACTTTTGGTCTACACATACAATTTTAATACACAGGGATACCCCGTGCTTAATGTTTTATGGTTATTGTAAAAGTTGAGTCGAAATAAATTGATATACCAAAAAATAGTAACAATATTGATTAAGCAATTTTCAAAATTTACTCTCATTTAAAAAAATAAAAGCGTAATATTTATGGTAATTCAAATTGTTAACATATTAATGTAGTATTTTAGTTTTACGTTGACGTTTAAATTACGTTTAAGTTTTTTTAATGTTATATTTGCTTTTAAAATGTTTAATTTAGTTATAAAATTATATTTTTGGAGAATTATAGTCAAGCTATACCAAGCTTGTAGAAAATTGGATTATCTAAATTTTTATCTTTCACTTCATGGGTGAATTTTTAATATAAAGTTAGAATTTAAACCATGAGTGTCATACTGATAATATTGTAAATTAAAAATAATTTCAAATTGTATATTATTAAATAGTCATTTTGATAAAATTTTTCATGAAAAGTAACTATTTTGTTAATTACGAATTAATTAAGAAAAATTAAAATATATGTATAATAAAACACTCAAATAAAATAAATAATCATTTGACTAGTAATAATAAAATAACTAATTAGTAGGCATAATATATTTATGTTTACAGAAATGTTTTTTAGATTTTATTTAAATATTGAGAGGAAATAATCTATATTTCATAAAGATTTTTTTATATAAAAAATATATTTACATATAAATAATGCTATTTAATGCAACGATAAAAAGAAAAAGCTACATTTTTTTGAAAAGGAAAATATATCAAGTCTGGAAGAATTATTATTTAATAGGGAATATTTTAACCTACTTTATTTATTTTTTCGAATGTTGAGCTCTATCTCCAAGAACTTTTAAGAAATTGCGGAGCAATATATCAAATGCAACGTATCTAGATGAATTTCGATTGTGGAACAGACATTAATCATTTCCGAGTTATTTCTGTCTGATGGGGCCTTTTAAACTAATTTCTGCTGTATAAAAGCTTCTCCTTTTTAGGTCAAATGAATCATCACAAAGTCGTTCTGGATGTCATGCATTATGAAGTTGGGCTAGAATTTAAGAAAATACTTGAATACTTGAATGCTCTTTTGGGTATTTTTTTAAATTTCTAAGAAAAAATAACTATATTTTTGATAAATTACAATGTTTTTTCACACAAAATCGGCTAAATGTAATAGCAATATACAAACTTTTAATAGAATACAGTGTCCCAGAAAATTCTGCGTTAAATTCTATAATAAAAGAGTTATAGTCCATCCAAACAATAAGTCAACTATAAAGGAATACCGCAAACGCAAAAAAAGTTCGGCACCTGTTTGAATAATTCGAAAAAAAATTGGTGTAGGGAACGGGTTGCTTATCGGAAGTCAGCTAAACTAACTCTTTGATAGACTGCCCATAGACAGAGATATATGTTTTTACTTTAAATTTTATTTAATAATTTAATGATATGTACATATTCATATAAGATATATGTTTCTTTCGATTTGAAGATTTAAAATAGTAATTTTTTATATACATATATACCTTATTAGAATAAAATAAGTAGGATTTATAACTGATGTTTTCCTTCAACGATTTCAGTGTTTAGATAAAATTTTGCATTTTTTCTCCAAGAAGCGTGAATAGCTTTGTCGGTATACTGCCTCTGTAAGTATATTATTTTTGGCGGTGTATCGCCTTTGACGGCTATTGCCTTTGTCGGCATATTGTCTTTGTCGTCCATTTAAAGAGTCGAATTTTTAACCAATGCCGAAAAGGAAAATTGAACGTATTTAAATAAAAATAATTATTTTTACTTTCAGTGGAGTTTTGTTCATCTTAGTGAACTGTTGAGTTTTGTACGGTTAACAGCTCCTGCATCGTACTTTTTAAAATTTTATAGAATATTAGTTTCTAATTTATTATTGTTTAGTTTCGTTTTATCAATAATCAGTTTGTGTTTAACTATGTGGAGACCGTGGGATAGTATTCCGAGCACCAGTACATCAAACAGTGATGGAGAAACTAATGCAAATAAAAAATAAACTCTTTTTAAATGAACAGTCCCAGCAAATTTGTTTAAATGTTTATAAAAATTTGTTAAAACGTGGATATATCGAAAACACTTCTACCGTTCAAGAAGCAGCGTTTCTTACTGGTATATCGGTTTATAAAATGAACCAAATTATAAAAAAATTTAATTTCTAGCAGAAAATGAAGACAAAGGTGTGCAAAAAAAATTAGATCCAGCCATGACCAAATCCATTGTGAATACAGTGTATGAACTTTATAAACAAAACACCATTCCCACTCTTGATATTATAAATAGTCGCTTAAGTGAAACTTATTTCGATACAAACGATAGATAAAAGAAGCGCAGTGATGGAAACAAGACGAATAGTAAACTGGAGAAATTCTTATTTACAGAAAATTCGTGAATATAAAAATGAAAGCATGCCAATTTATTTTCTGGATGAAACGTGGTATGATTCGCATGATACTGCAAAAAAGGGCTGGACAAACGATAATAAATATTGCCACGCCTTAGGTATTCATCCAAATAAAGGCACTCGACTGATAATATTAAACTGTGGCTCAGAGGACAATTGGGTTGACAATGCCTTACTGTTCATTGGAAAAAAAAATTGATAGCTGCCAGACAGAGCTGGGCAGTATTTGTATTTGTAAATACTTTTTAGTATTTAAATATTTTTGGATAAGCGGTATTTGTATTTGCAGTTGAAGATACTTTCGTAAGTATTTAGTATTTAATTACTTTTTAAAAATATTCTAAATAATTTTTAAGAATTTAAATAATTTTCTGGTATTTAAATACTTTTTTTAGTATTTAAATACATTTCAAATATTTAAATACTTTTTCGGTATTTAAATACATTTCAAGTATTAAGTGTAAGGGGTTAAAGAAAAGGTCCTTTATTTCTCACAAGTAAATTTAATTGGCGACCGGTTTCGAAGCTGTCACTTCATCATCAGGCACACCTAAATGGAATGTCAAGAAGTCAGTTGTAATAAAAAGCAGTTATAAAAGCATGAACGGACTTTAACATATACAAAATAACAGAAAAAACACAAAAGAAGTTAAACAATAACCTTGACTCACCTTGACTATTTCCATAAAGGAAGCGCTACATAAAGTTTAACAAAACGAGTTAAAAACGTCATATGTTATACAATAGTATTTTTTAAAAAAAAATATTGTAGGTTAGGTTAAACCGCGAGATGTCTGTTTGAATAAATTAATTAAAACACATTTATTCAAACAGACATCTCGCGGTTTAACCTAACCTACAATATTCTTTTAAAAAAAATACTATTGTATTACATATGACTTTTTTAACTCGTTTTGTTAAACTTTATGTAGCGCTTCCTTTATGGAAATAGTCAAGGTGAGTCAAGGTTATTGTTTAACTTCTTTTGTGTTTTTTCTGTTATTTTGTTTATGTTAAAGTCCGTTCATGCTTTTATAATTGTTTTTTATTACAACTGACTCCTTGACATTCCATTTAGGTGTGCCTGATGATGAAGTGACAGCTTCGAAACCGGTCGCCAATTAAATTGACTTGTGAGAAATAAAGGACCTTTTCTTTAACCCCTTACACTTAATCCCTACTACTCACATATGGCTACCCTCACTCCAAAACATTTCCGATATTTAAATACATTTTCCGATATTTAAATACCCTTTTACTTCAAAATAAAAACATATGTTTTAACAAGTTTCAACTTGTTATTAAACCGAACGTGCGAAATAGTCTGGATGAAGTGCTGAAGTATCAGTTTGTATTTAGGCGTTAGGGAAGATACATCATTGTGCTAGTTGTTAAGTTGTGACTGTTGTGATTTGTGTTACAAAAAAAAAGAAATAAATCAAGGTAAGTATTTATTAATATGATTTGTGATTTTACATAGTAAAAGTAATTAAAAAATGTTAGAGGTACAGATGGTCAGTCGAAAGTAAGTCTATACAAGAAAGGAAGAAAGGATATTATAATTCCAAATGTTTCAATTGAATTTAAACGGTTACGACAAATATGTCTTTACTTTGAATCTAAATCTGCAAGGAGAAACAAATGTTTATTATGGATTTGTAATACCAACAATTGCTAGTATGAAAATTAAGTTAGAAAGGCTTAAAACAGAAAATTTTAAATACTTTCCTTGCGCGCTGGATGAAATAATCAAATCAGTATCCACTCGTTTTCAGGATTACCTTTCATTTAGTAACAAGAATGCAGTTCTTGCAGCAGTCTCTCATCCCAATTTTAAATTAAGATGGATAACAGTTTTTAAGGAAAAGGGAGATCTTGAACAGCAAACTGAGAAACTAAAGAGAATGCTTATCAATACTGCCAACGATGTGACTGTTGGTGAATACATTCTGCCTCAAGATACCCAAAATAAATCAGCAAATTATTTTTTGAATTCGATGAAAATTCTAGTGTGTTGCTTCAGTCATCTGCATCATGTGGACAAGGTGAAATGGAAGCTTTGCAGTATTTGCGAGACCCACAAACAGATATAAAAATGTTCGAAAAGTATCCAAATATTACCCTACCCTCATCAGCCCCAGTCGAGAGAATGTTCTCGTATGCTACATTTATTAATACTCTACGAAGACATGCTCTGTCGGATTCTAATTTTGAAAATCTAGTATTAAGGACAGCGTCTCCTAGGAATTTCTGAACAAAATTATGTCAATTTAGATTCAATCAAGGAGGTGCTGTTACCTACCGATTAGAGATTGAATTAGTGCAAATTATTACAGAAATCTTTAAGTAACTATAAATATCGACCGACTAGCTATTAGGGGATATTGTATTATATTGTATTATAAACCGGTTTTTAGTAGACTGAGTTCGAAGGATCATAATAATAGTCCTGAACATAAAATCTATTTTTCAATAATTGCCGGGATTTTACCAAATACAAAAAAAATATTTCGCGATTGTGAAAACGGTCCAATCGTTTTATATGCCATTTATAATATTATAAAAATGTTAACTCTAGGACTCATTTTGGAGTATGAGCATACTTTATTTCAATACTTTTATTGTACTGTTTCATAAAGTATTACCTACCTATTACATTTTATTTTTATCGAAAATTGACTTCGTTTCCTGGACCAAAGTAAAGAATGTAGGTAGGTATGCAGATGATAACAACAAAAACGATATCTTGTCTCACATTAAATATAAATATTTCCTAAAACAAATAATTTGTTTTATATACGGGTAGTAATACGAGGGATGTTTATCATTTCAAGTCACGAATATAGAGTCGTTTCAAAATATATTGCCACAATAATTGCGTCACATTGAGTCGGAGTGGGACGCTTGACGTGTCGCAATTCGCAATATATTTTAAAACTATTTTACCTAATTAATAAATTGTGATTTTGAAGTATCGAATGAAAACTATATTCTCATTGGTTAAAGATGGAAGTTTTTGTCATTTGAATGTTCAAGAATATTAATTGTGATTAATTGGTTAAATACCGAAGTTATCTGTTATCTGATGTTGGTACTAACCTAATGTTTTTGGGTAATTTTGACTGTCATTTCCTGGAATTTCCAGGCCCGCACAAATATTTATCCTATTAAAGTACAAAAACCCTACAATAGATATTATGAGTAGGTATTTAACATTCATTTATCTTATCTTAGGTAGTTATTTCCTAGAAACATTTCCCTGATTGTCAATAACACATTACCGTATATCTGTGCCAATATGACGTCACGACTTTTAATATACTTAATGAAGGCTGGGGGAAGGAGTTAAGAGTCTATAAATTTACAAACAAGCTTACGGGTATTCAAAATTACATCACACGTGTCTGAAGATTTTTATTGTGCTGTTTGTTTTTAATAAGTGTTATTTTCTTTAATAGAAAATTGATATATTTGTGCCAAGTGTCCTAGTGAGTTTCATTGTACATTTTAATCAGTTTTATTTTTGGATAAATTGACATCAACTTCCTGCATTAAAGGTAGGTAGTTTTTTTTTTCTCGCTCTCGAGTTCGTCATTGAATAAAAAAATTAAACGCTATAATTTTAACATTCAAATATTTGCAATTAAATTTGACAATAAAAAAACTTGTTATTTAATAATAATGTTTCATTATTCTGAATATATTTTTTCTACGATCAATATCCAAAGTAGGTAGGCTTTTGCACATTAAAATCTAAATAAAAAGTTGACGTTTCCTGCGATTTGTCATAATTTGACATTATTGGCGCACATTACTTAATATTCAAACCCATTTCCATGCTTAAAAATAGAAGATGGTGACATTCATTTAAAAGAAAACCATAACTACTTTTACCAAGTGAAAAATTTCAATATGTTAAAATAATTCATGATTTTTAAGAAATGTGCTAGAAATGATACTACAATATTAATATTCTTTTTATGTTTGATTTTCTAATAATGATTTTATATACTTTTAGATTCAAGGACAGCTAGGTATAGCTCAAAAAAATTGTGCTACTTTGTAGTATATACTGGAGATGAAAATCCACTATTTGTTGAAAAAATTCATTTTCAACCCATTTTTTTTTAAAATATGGTTGAAAAATTAGAAAAATTTTACTCGGAATATATGGCACCTGAGATAATTTTAAATAGAAGAGGACGAGGATTAAAATGTCTGGATACCCCATATAATGAAACTTAAAGTGCAAAGATTAGCAAATTTATAAAAATAATAATTTAATGGACTTTAATGATACAAGTACTTGAAATAATGGTTTTTTTTGCGCAGAAGCATGTTCATACGTAATTTGCAATTGGTAATCACTAATCACAGATGGAAAAGTATATACGTCAACGATATGTTCTCTTATTTTTGATTTATTTTAACAATTATAATATATGGTATGTTACTTATAGTATAGATTTTTTTATTTCTCGACCTAATTTATTTGTTACGTCTTCAGCAATTGTCGCTTTCAGTTGAGATAAACGAAATTGATAAAAAGTGTTATTCGCATTTTATTTTGACTGTTTCTCTTACTTTCGAATAGAAACTGAGCTTTGTAAACATAAAATGACGGATATGTCAAACTAAAACTGACGGTAAAATGAAACATTGAGTATAGTTAAATGCAACTTCTGAACTAGTTTCAAAAATAGCATTAAAATGATATTATCATTCACAATGTACTAATTTCCTATACTTTTAGTTGATAAATAACCGATAATCATACATCATATAACAAATAGGCGCGTGTCAAAAGGTCACCGGTGAAAAAAGAGTGCCGATGAAAAAAGGTCGTTTCCAATTGTATCATATAAACAGTATCAGAGGCAGTATTATCATCTCGTATATCCCCCGTAAACACACATAATATAAACGGAAATAATCAAATACTAGTCAAAATATTATCGATCGGAGCACCATCTTTATTACATTACATGAAGAAATTATTGATTTTTCGGGGTTGATTTAGAGTTAAATTAGACGCCATTTTTGGTCCAAATTCGTTTTGCATGTTTTTTCAAAGAAAGTGACTTATAAATTACAAATCTACACGTTTTGAAAAATATACAATATTTAAATATTCTGAGTGTACCAAATTCCAAGTAAAGGTTGAACTTAGGTCGTATTACATTTTTTTTTTTATTATTTGTTTGACATCGAGGTTAAAATAATTCTACACGGCACCTTTGAGATGAAATAAAAGGGGGTTATTTTACATGATTGGTTTTTATTGAAAATAATAAATTTATTAATTTTCAATAGTAAGGTGACCTAAGTTAGACCTTTATTTTTAACTTGGCCAAAAATTAGATTTTTAAACACTACATATTCGGAAAACTGTCGATTTAACTTTTTGTCTACACATACACTTTTAATACACAGGGATACCCCGTCCTTAATGAAGGCAAATAATGAACTATTTTAAATTGAATTGTGTTTGTGTTATGCTCGACTATATTTGATAGAGATCCTAAATTTATAACACTGTAAAGATGTAACATAATAAATGAAATAATAAAACTAATAGCATACAACAAAGCTATGTGTTCTATTTTTTAGTTAGTTCTTGGTTTATATTGTTGTTAATTATATGTTAAGTTGTTTCCAAAATACTTATTTTGGTTGAAGAGGAAAATATAGTTCACCTCAGCTTAGAGCGTTATACTTAAGTTTTAAGCCTGTAGATTTATTTTATTTTTATATACAAGATACAAGGCGATTTGTTATAAATGAACACCTTTGCATTTTTGTTTGGAGTTTTACAAAATATTGTATACCAAAGTTAATATAAAGTTTTTTATAATGCTGTTTTTAAGTAAACAGAAGGTTTCAAGAAAAATCTTCAAAGTATGGTATTTTTAATGGAACACCCAGTAAATTTACGTTGATTATAATTTTCTTCTGGGTGTTCCATTAAAAAAAGCATACTTTGATTTGTGAGAGCCCCTGCTATAAAACTTTATATTACCCTTTAACTTTTGCAAAATAGTAGGTGCTTACTGCTAAAAATATCTCTTTGGATTGCTGTATTTTTTATGTAATAAAGAATTTGTATCAATACTCCGAATGTTGTTTTAGGTATCCATTCTTTATTTTTAAATTGTCGTAACTATGGTGTGGAATGAGAGTGGTATAATTCCAATTCCAATTAATGAAACTCTAATTTGTTGTTTTAATTATTAGCTATATACTTAAATCTTGGTTAAGCCTTTAAGAAAATTACATAATTATTTTATTATTATGATGGTATTTAAATACTTTTAAGCATTTAAATACTCCTTAAGTATTTAAATACTTTTTATGTATTTAAATACTTTTTATGTATTTAAATCCTTTTTATGTATTTAAATACTTTTTATGTATTTAAATACCTTTTCAGTATTTAAATATTTTTGTGTAAGTATTTATCCCAAAAAAGTATTTAAATACTGTGGGTATTTATTATTTAAATACCCTTTGCTTTAAACAAGTATTTAAGATTTAAATATTCCTATTTATGAAAAAGTATTTATTATTTAGTATTTAAATACTTTTAAAAAGTATTTTGCCCAGCTCTGCTGCCAGATTGATTACCATTCAAATATGATATCCGATATTTTTGAAGAATGGTTTACGAATTCACTGTTGCCTAATTTAAAGCCAAAAAGTGTAATAGTTATGGACAATGCTTCATATCACTCCAGGCTTAAGGAAAAAATATACCTAATAAAAACTCTAGGAAAGATGAAATTCAGGAATTTTTAATGAATCACGATTTGTATTTTGATGAAAAATATAAAAAAGATGAACTTTTGGAAGTCCTAAAAACTAAAAATTTTGAAAAAAAGGATATATTTGATGAAATTGGCAGCTGAAAGAGGCCATACAGTTTTAAGGTTACCACCATATTTTTGTATTTTCAATCCTATAGAGTTACTCTGGAGCCAATTAAAACAAAATATTCGGAGAAAAAATATATTTCCCAAATTTGATTATCAGGTCGTCAATTTGATCAAAGAACAAATGGATGCGATCGGAAAATCGCAGTGGGAAGCAGTTATAAAACATGTGTATGAAATAGAAGAGGAATACAGGAACAACTAGTCTGGTTCACAAGTGCCATTTCCCTCGAAACTTGTCCTCCAGCACCGAAAATTATGATTTTGGGCTCATTCGATTCGGAATGGCATCTAGAACATTCTATCAAAATTCCAGGAGGGGCTGAAAATGCAAAAGTTATAAACAATAAAGTAAAATAAAAAATAAGGGTTTGGCTTTTTTGAAATATTTCAAAAACTATTTGAGATAATCGAAATTTGAAAAAAGATCCTTAAAGAGCAGGAAATTTTCTAAAAAAAAAGTCCTACCTCCCGGAACTGTACCAACAACTCTTATAATTTTAATTAAGCGGCGAAAATAACGGTAAAAACGCGTGGTTCGGCTGCCGCGCGCATCGCCCCAATCTGACACATGAACTAAAAAAATTATTTTAACTGATTAAATATTAATATTATGGAATAAAAAAATTTTAGTACTAAGTAGACATATGAATAAACAATAATCCGTAAACAAAAAAATTTTATCACTATTTTTTTATTAATTATGCTTTTGTTAATTAGTTAATTTTCACCATTTTAATGTTAACATAAAAACGCTGATTATTTCAAAACAACACATCTAGAATTTTTTTTTATTTTTTTGAGCTATTGTTAAAAGAGTTTAGAAGAGATCCCCGTTGGAAAAATTTAAAAATTTTGATTTTTCACTTTTTTATTAACAATCAAAGGCATTAAAAAATTATTTATGTAAATAAAGCCATTAGGAAATTTTTTTTTTCCAAAAAATTTTTTTCAATAAAAAAATATATATGGTTGTTTTTGTAATATTTTTTAGTATTTAAAAAAAATATTGCGTAAAATTGCATTTGTTTATAACAAAGTGTTTGTTTAATAAACAAATGAAAAATTAATAAATTTTTTTTTTATAATACGAAAGAACATAATAAATAATGATTTAAAAAAAAATGGTTCCTTAATATTAATATTTAGTAACAAAAAAAATTGTTAATTAACAAGTGCGTTTTTTGTTAATAAAAAAATTTTTTTAAGGAACGATTTTTTTTTAAAATCATTGTTTTCATCAAGGATAAAATTCCAAAGAAAAAGTTTTCAAAAATATAATAAACAATGCATTTGTTTATAACAATTATTTAAATAATGTTAGTTAAAAATAAAACAAATTATTGTTATATGGCTTTTATCAATAAGAAAACAAAATATTAATAATAATTGGAAAAAACAAATTCCTAATGGCTTTATTTACATAAATAATTTTTTAATGCCTTTGATTGTTAATAAAAAAGTGAAAAATCAAAATTTTTAAATTTTTCCAACGGGGATCTCTTCTAAACTCTTTTAACAATAGCTCAAAAAAAATAAAAAAAAATTCTAGATGTGTTGTTTTGAAATAATCAGCGTTTTTATGTTAACATTAAAATGGTGAAAATTAACTAATTAACAAAAGCATAATTAATAAAAAAATAGTGATAAAATTTTTTTGTTTACGGATTATTGTTTATTCATATGTCTACTTAGTACTAAAATTTTTTTATTCCATAATATTAATATTTAATCAGTTAAAATAATTTTTTTAGTTCATGTGTCAGATTGGGGCGATGCGCGCGGCAGCCGAACCACGCGTTTTTACCGTTATTTTCGCCGTATAATTAAAATTATAAGGATTGTTGGTACAGTTCCGGGAGGTAGGACTTTTTTTAGGAAATTTCCTGCTCTATAAGGATCTTTTTTCAAATTTCGATTATCTCAAATAGTTTTTGAAATATTTCAAAAAATCCAAACGCTTATTTTTTATTTTACTTTATTGTTTATAACTTTTGCATTTTTTTTTTCAGCCCCTCTTGGAATTTTGATAGAATGTTCTAGATGCCATTCCGAATCGAATGAGCTCAAAATCATAATTTTCGGTGCTGGAGAACAGGTTTAGAGGGAAATGGCACTTGTGAACCAGACTAGCGGTATACACGTAAATAATGGAGAACGATTTATCATAAATCTCAATGAGGATGACGACGACGATGATATAATTAGTGATAACAAGGAGAAGGAAGACGAGAAGCAGGAATTTGGAAACAATGAGAAAATCTGAGTTAAATCAGCAATATGTAAGTCACATTTTAATTTTATAAGTCGATCTATGTTAAGGTTATTTCTACATTAACTTTGTAATTTTAATTTTAAAATATTTTTTATAACTAAATTAATAAAATGTTGACGTTCGTATTCGTTTACCAATCGATAAGTCACTTGGGAAGTAACCCAACCAGTAGAGATATGTTTGCACTATAACCAATTAAATCAATTATTTCCTTCCTATTTATATCTATAAGAAGGTAGGTATGTCATGCAGAATTGATATAAAATAAGAAGCCTTTATTTCGAAAGAATTGGAAATGCACTAATTAAAATATTTATTCCAGAAACGGCATTTTATTTTTCTGAAAAAAATTATATACCGACAGTCGATAATTTCAAAAGACAATTTGCATTTGGTATATATTTATATCAGTTTTTAATTTTGTATCATATATTTGGAACGCAGTACCTATATTTCTACTCATAATCGAATCCTCAAATTGATTGATTATTAATCTATTTTTCGCTTTGTAAAATTATTTATTACATTTATTTTATATAATGAATCGTAGAAATTGAAATATGGTGGTAATAATTAATGTTTAAAATACTCCAACCAATTAAATTAATTAATAAACTGACTTAACGATGCGACGACACTGGCTTCTTCTTACTTTGCCGATACTTTTGACTACAATTCCGCACGACACGATAATCCAGTCTGTCTACAAAGGTTATCGGTTCATTTCAGCGACGTAGAGAACAATAATAAACTGGACTACTATATTCCAATACGGAGTTGAGTTAATAATTTTTAGAATTAAAATAAGTCCAGGGGCATAATAATGACATATTCCTGGTAGAGACTCCTTTTTAGATGTATTCATGCATAATATTTAGTAAAATTTTTTTTGAAGCATCTTCAAACGGAAGCCGAACTTTTTTTTCCATTATCGGTATTTCTTTGTAGTTGACTTATTGTTTGTATGGACTATAAGTATATTATAAAAGGTACATTTTCAAATTTATTTAATGTTTTATAAAATTTTTCTAATAAATATTGAAAAAAAAAACAATTAGGAAAAAATCCATTTTTAATGAAGCCTATACTTATTTGTCGTAGGCAATCGATATTATTTTTTCATGTTCATAATAAAGCCTTGCGAGTATTTCTGAAGTTTTACCCACATAATTAAAAATGTATGTCAGAGTGAAGTTACAAAGATCATATACTAAATATAACAAAATCCCTTTTAGTTATAGCTTATTACGTTTTCTTCTCATTACACCAGTTTCGCAGCTAACCTAAATCTCTCTGATGAAAAGAATGGTAATGATGGTATCGAAACAAACAAAAAAAATACTCTTTGATATAAATTAACTTTAAATAACTAGTATACGCTTTTATATTAAAAGAGCGAAGAAGAGGACGAGAAAAAACTATCCTTGTGAAAAGGATAACTTTGTTGGATTGAAAAGATATTTTTTGTGGTTTTCAGTCCTTAAACTCACTAATGACTACCCTAACTAATAAGTGTACATTTTAAAAGAGTTAAAGAGTAATTAAAGGTGAATATATGAATGTAGAGTTACTTATAAGGATTGTAGAAAAAATATTTTAGAAAATAATAATAGTAATAATAAACTCCGTGTGGTGGACGAGCAATATAATATCCCCATGGTACCCTCGGTCTGGAATAAAAGCCCCCTAAAAGAGAAAACTGCTCCGCGAGCTAGCACTCCACTGGGCATCATATCTATGTACGCTGTAAATATTAGAAATAACCGTTAGTCGGGCGGCGTAAGGTTGCAGACTGGCCTTATTCGAAATAGTCAGGAATAGACTGACGCAGGATGGAGTGAAACTGGTGTCATTGACCTGCGGACAAAAACCACCACGCTAAGATATCGGCCCACGAACAGAGAGTTTCAATTTCACTTTCAAATTGCGCTGTGTAGCAAGATGCACCATTAGCTGCAGATGGAAACAGGAAAAGGCGATTTAAGTGGACACAATCCATGAATTAGCATATTTATTGTACTTACCTGAAAATCACAGTAATGCAAACGAATACGACACCATACGTATTCAGACAATAATATTCCCAGAATTGAGAGTGAAAGCCGTTCAGAACATCCTGGACCAAAGAAGACAGTTCTTTATAAAAACAGATTAGATCCTCAAGTAATAGAGAACATCAGAGCCAAAGTAGAGCTAGAACTAGGAATCTCTTTAACTCAGGTGGTACAGCCGGACGGTAGAAATAGATACCCACCACAATATGCAGAACCATCAGCGGAAGACCAAGAAGCACTAGACGCCATAAGCGAAGCTCTGAAATGGATCCTACATTAAAGCAAAATATTTTAAAAATCAGGAATGTCCGTAAAGCAAAATCCAAGACAAAAATAATGAACAGTTTGCTAAACTCCAAAATTCAAGACTGTCAAAAGATCACCGATGTGCACACTCTTATATACTACGCAGCTATATATTGGCCGCAGGAAGAAAACAGAACAAAATTGCTATCGCTCGAAAACCACAATGGGAGTCCAGACTAGAAAGGAAGATAAACATCCTAATGAAAAAAATTGGTTACCTCACAAAATACACCAAAAATCAAAATCATAGCCAGCGGTTAGAATAACGCGCTACAACAACAATTAAGAGATACACAAACGAAAATAATCGACTGCGGAAATTTTGGAACTTTTGAAACAAATATTAAAAGTTCTCTCCAGCAGATTGAGAAAATACAGGGAGGCATACCAACGCAGAGTCGAGAACAGAATGTTTAACCAAAATCAATGCGAATTCTACCAAAACATGTCTAACAACAGAACGGCGAATAAAAACGCAAAATATCCCGATCAACACGAGATACAACAGTTCTGGAGAAACATCTGACTGGATAAAAGAAACAAGACAAGAAAAAAAAAAAAACCCGGAATGCTACCACCGGAAATTTCAGAAAAAGAAATCGAAGCAGTACTCACAAGAGCCTTTAACTGGAAAGCATCCGGATCGGAGTAGGTTCAAAACTTCTGGCTAAAATTATTTAAATCGGTCTGGCCAAAAGTGGCGAGTATCTTTGATACGTTTCTGAAAAGTCCTGACACCATTTCAACGTTATTACCAAAATCTGATCAACTAACAAAAGACCCGCCGAAGTACAAACCTATAACATGTTTCCCCACATATAAAACATTAGGCGGCATATATGCAACAAAATATATGAACATCTCACAAATCATAACCTTCTCTCCGAAGAACAAAGGGGGCTCAAGAGAAAAGCGCAAGGTTGCAGAAAATAACTAGCCATAGATACTACTGTAACACAACATGCGATCAAGAACAAGAAGGACTTTCACATTGCTTTTATTGACTATCATAAAGCATTCGACAGTGTGTACCATTCTTGGCTGTTACAAAGCTTAAGTCTGTACAAGATATGTCCAACCATCATTGACCTGCTGAAGATAATAATAAATATGTGGAAGATAGAACTGGCTATAGGAAATGATTAAAATCGAATTCAAATTAACATCAAAAGGGGCATCTTCCAAGGCGATGCTTTAAGTGCACTCTCGTTTTGTATTGCAATCAATCCTTCAATCCTCAATCCACAGCTCTCAACAAACTAAAAGTAACGAGACTACCAAGCACTTAATGTACGTGGATGGCATCAAACTATACACTTCACCCGAACAAGAGCTGAAATCAAAGCTATTGGGCCAAAACCTAGCAACTATCTTCAATGCATATATTGCACCAGTAGTTGCCTACAGTTTCGGAGTGTGCTACCCCTTTTTATTCCCTTGAGTGAAAGGGGAAATAGTTTATATCGACTAGCTCAATTTTGTTATTATTGTCCGGAGATAGGATCGTGGAAATGAAGAGCAGGTAAAATTATTTAACGGTATGCGTACTAAAATCAACTTTTGATTTTTCTGGTAAAATAATTGGTATAATTCAATTGCTTGATGGAACTTATCTATTTTAGGTGGTATAAAATCCGAAATTATTTCATAAAATTTTCAAAGACCACATGGTCCATAAACCAACCTCAAAAAGAAAGATGAAGAGCCAAGAGAGACAGATAAAACCTCAGGACCTAAGAAGATAAATGTCTTTGGTTTGGGATGGCTAAACTGCCAATACTAATCCTAATTAACCTAATTACACAAATTAAAATCAAATAAAAAATAATAGAAAAAATGAAGAAGAAGAAAAACTACCTCAAGGTCATGGTCAAGAGTTGACTATATATAAATAAACAATATCAATACTATGTATAGGTTAGTTTTAATAAATGGAAACGAATTTAGGTGAGTTTTTATTTATTACTTGAAAATAGTGGAAAAGCAGGTATGACTTAAATATTTTGTTTAAAAAGATTATACACTATAATAGAATTGACCCGTAATAAGTGATTTTATGGACGATCACAGAACTAGAGTAACTCAATAGAATCGCTCGAGTTACCTTTACAAAACACCGAAAGCATAATCCCAGAGAGTGCAAAGGACGATTCCATTTGCTACGGAAAGCCGGGGAAGAGGGATTACAGATCTTCGCCTGAGATATAACAAGCAAATTGAGCTATTGAGATAATACTTCTATTCTAAAACTGAACATTTGGCAGTCCACAAAGCCGTATAACCGAAATGTACCCCACTGAACGTGTCTGACCACGAATTCAACCTAGACAAAAATTACACCATTATGTTAGTTGAAAAGGCATGGAAAGAAAAATAACTTCATGGAAGATACCATAATATAATTAACAACGATGAAAACATTGACAAAACATCAACTCTGAGTTAGTTATAATAATAATAATAATAATAATGTTTTTATTGGCTCAAATTATACATTTTTGTTTATAATTTTTTACAAAATAAAATTATAGCCAAAAGGCAGAGTTCAGTTTCTATTATGCCGGAGCAATACTAGAACCTGTTCTTCCACTCAACCGTTAAAACTAAAACTAACTAGAATATTTCAAAAAAGTAAAAATACCAAAAAGTAAATAATATTAATAAACCGTAAGAAGGGTAACCTATTATAATAATATTAATTAACCTTAAAATGAATATTCTATTATATACCAGAAACAGCCAACATCCAAAACCCAATACTTAAATTTTTTTAATTATTTAACAACGAAGAGTGTACCATTCATTAAATCTCGTTTTACATAATTTTTTAACCTAATATTGTTTAAACTGAGATAATGCATGGGTAACCTATTAAGAAGCCAAGATACGTAATAAGTGAAAGATCCCTGAAATAGATGAGTTTTGTGAAGTGGTGGTGTGAGTTTGGATTTAAACCGTATATTTATATTATGTACATTACATCGAAAAGATATTTTATTATATAAGTAAGGAGGTGTTGCAGAATTTAAAATATTTTGAAAGAGCGAGCATGCGTGTAATGCTCGTCTCTCAGCCATATTGAGCCAGCCTAATTCTTTTAAATGAGCGGAAACACGATCTCTTCTGTTCAAGCCACAAACAAAATGTACACATGAATTTTGAATTTTTTGTAACCTCTTTTTATCACTGTTTAATAAGGATGGTCCGTAAATTACGTCTCCGTAGTTTGCATGTGATAAAACCAGTGAGTCGCACAGCATTATTTTAGTTTTTTTATTAAGTAAACTCTTATTAGAGTATAATAATTTTAAACTGCAATAAGACCTTTTTGTAATGATTGATATATGGGATGAAAATCGTAGTGAGTTGTCTATATGTATACCTAGGTTTTTTGCAGAGGAATGCAGCATTAAGAGATCTCCATTTAAGCTAATATTTACATTATTAAGGTTACGTTTTCTTGCAACGGGTCGGCCAAAAAGTTGAACTATTGATTTAGAGGGATTTATGCTTAGACAGTGCTTATCAGATAAATGAACGAGTGACAAAATGTCATCATTAATCTTATTACAAACATCCTGAATATTTTTCTCTTCAAAAGAGTAATAGAGCTGCGTATCATCTGCATAAGTGTGAATCTGACAGTTTTGAAGAGCAGAAGGTAATTGAGAAGCATACATGACAAATAAAAGTGGACCTACTATTGACCCCTGGGGAACACCAGAATTAATAAAAGAAAAATCAGACGAGTTTTGTTTTATGACAGTTGCCTGGCATCGATTGTTTAGATAACTTTTGAAGAAATTAATAGAATTATACGTAAATCCAAAAAAGTGCAAGAGAGCCAAAGAAGTGAATGATTAATGAGGTCAAAAGCTTTCGAGTAATCAAGAAGAATTAAAATGGTCAACAGATTATTATCACATGCTCTGTGAATGTCATCAGTAACTTTAAGTAATGCTGTGGTACAGCTAAAGCCACTGCGAAAACCAGACTGACTTAAAGGAAGTAGATCATAAGTGCATAAATATTTTCTAATTTGTTTGTCTAGAATTTTTTCAAATACTTTGGATATGCAACATAAAATGTTTATGGGTCGTAGATCAGAATATGACTCAGGAGATGATTTCTTGGGAAGAGGAATGACATATGATTTCTTCCAAAGGTCAGGAAAACAAGCATTTATTAGAATAAAATTAAATATATGAGTTATGTAAGGGATAATTAAAGGACAACAATATAATAATATCTTGATATTAATTTTGTCCACACCCACGGCTTGTGTTTTTATTGATAACATTTGTTTGTAACATTCCTCATCGGATATATGACTAAATGAAAAATTTCCTTCATTTAGAATTGTAGTGTTTTGATAAAATTGTAGTTGATCATCATCAGGTACTTTATTAGAATTAGTAATATTAATGAAGTATTTATTAATTTCTTGAACATTGCATAAATTCTCAGGTATATCTCTTACTGGTTTACTGTGTACATCAAGTTTTTTAATTCCTTCCAAATGTTGTTACGCTTTTGATTTCGAAGTTGAAATTCAAGATAAGCTTTTATCTCTAATCTAATAGTTTTGTTGGTTAAATTTCGTAGGTCTTTGTAGTAATTATAGTGAGCTACTTGTTGAGTTCTTTTAAATTTATTTAGTGCTTTGTCACGTAGGGACATCATTAGTTTTAAGTTCGCAGTAAGCCACGGAGCTTTATTTTTAGTGACTTAAATAGTTTTTAAAGGAGCATGCTTATTAAACAGTTGCACTATTGTGTTTGTAAAATAATTAACCTTGTCATCGACAGTATTTAATTGGTAGATATATTCAATGTTTGCATTAGACAGGTCTAGAGTAAAATTTTCATTAGAAAATTGAGAGAAATCCCTGTAGGTGTACATTTTAGGTACAGCTTTAATCGTTTTTATATCAAAGGAACACGATACAAGATGATGATTAGTAAAACTTGGACA